GTACAATATAGAATTCTCAGCACAAAGTATTTCAACAAGTTTCCGTTTCTTTCTTCTTGGTCGGTCCTGTCGATAAATATTGAGTGATCGCCAGTTAGATGTTAGCAGTTCAGTAAATGAACATCTGAATATTGTGCATTGTTTTCGTTGTATATTGCCAGCAACCACATTGTCTCTTATTGAGTTTTTTGTAACTTTGACAACGAAAGGTTGTAAAGTTTTCAGAAACGCAGCAGAATAGATTATGCGATTAAAAGACATAATGATATATTAAAACGAACAAAAATACATAACTTGTTGAAATATCTGGATGGCAGGAACAGGTAGCCCAGATGCTCTAGCAGGCCGCCTTTGTTGATTCAAACGTCATTGCAGTATCCATTTAGCTTGTGCAATGTGGTGAAATTTAAATTCACTTGATATTGTTTTACTTGTATCTTCTCATTGTTATTTAGGACTGCAATTGATGAAGTGAATTTAAACTTCATCGCATTCTACAAGCAAGTGGCTATCAAGAATCAGTGGATAACGCGACGATGTTTAAAGCGAACGGTACTAGGTTGGAATCCTAGAGTGAACATCAACTCTGGGATACAGGTACATCCAACTGACGAGTACCAAATAGGACGAATTGGCTCACGTCCAGCTGGATTCCACTGCTAGTCACTATCCATTTTTGCTTAAAAACTTTGTGACTTAAGGCTATATCGAATCAATCCTCACAGGATGCACATATGCCAACATGAGACTGATCAATTGCAGTCCTAAATAACAGTGAGAAGATACAAGTAAAACAACACTAATTAAATTTATAAATATGTAGTTGCTGAAAATTAACTGATCTTTATGATATTTTAGTAGTGGCTAACAATGGAATGCAAAAAATGCGTTTTTCTTCTATCTGGAACCGTTCAGCTGGATGTGTCTTTATTCAGAAGTTAACATTTATATTGAGATTACTGGTCGTTACAAACACAAACGTGTTCACCACTGAGCTGTTAATTTTAGATAATCACTGGCTTGTGAAACGTTCATGAATTTTATTAGTGGATGGTTTTACTTTTTCATCGTTGCTCTGTGAAAAATGTGTTGATGTTTGGAAGGTAGGTAGTCAGTTTGAATTGCAATATAAATGTAAATTCTGGAATGGAGGTAAATTGAGTTGATAAGTCATAAAATGAATAAAAACGAGCTTACTGGATTCGATTGTTAGCTTCTATCCAACGTTAGGAAAAGGTTGTGGCTAACTGGAAACATCGAGACTATCCGCTTTAACTGCCTATCTGTCAATTGAGACTAATCTATTTCAGTCCCTGTTATCAACAAGACTAAAACACGAACCATTACAAATTAAGTTACAATGTGACATCATTAAAATTCAGATTTAAAAATCTAAAATTTTATCCCTACTAAATATCACAAGATTACCTACCATATTCTATTATGTTAATGAGGGCTACACAGTAATATGGAATAGATTAAACTCTATTCAAACTCATAACTCAGCTGAACACATTGAAACTTATTTCTTCATATGAAGCTTAGAACTACTTTCGTAGAACGCTGTTAGCAAAAATAACACACAGACACACAGTTACTTTTAAATACATAAAAATTATTGAATTCTGGTTTACACAATAAATGTTACTATTAGTGTAAGAGTTTTCTAAAAATTACTAATTTTTCATAGTTTACATTGTGAAGTGATCCTTATTAGACGTTCACTGAAGACCACTAACCACTGGACAGCTACTTCGTAACCGTATACGACTTCACAGCATTGTATACTCACAGGAGCCCATCACGGATTGCATCCAGAATCTTCGGGTCTCGTGTCGAGCACCTAAACTCAAAACCATTATTTAATGGTATGCCTGTCTAACATCAATTAATTCACAACGTCACGCCACCTCCTCAAATTGCCTGTGAAGGATAACTGTCTCACATGCGACATGCTTAAACTTCACTAGTCACGGCTACTCACCAGAACTCCTGGAATTATACCCAGAAATTAGTCACTACTGAGCACTGAACTGTAACTAATTTACGTGTTTTCTTGCAAATTACTATAAATAAGGATCGTATGTTTTTCTGTAATCAGGTGGAAGTTAATTCACGATACAAACGTTTAGTGAGATCGATAAATCCATGTACGAGTTACCATTAGTAATCATGATTTTTCATATTCAACTTTATTTTTAAACAAATCACGCAAAATGTTTGGTCATGTTAACCAGAAATTCCACCTGGAGTCCTTCGGGAGCTGCTGCCGGTTCCAAGCCCGGATAAAGGAGGAGGGTCGGGTATAGGGTTAGTGACCCTATCCCGTGGAAAACTAACTCGCTAAAAATACGCTAACCAGAAAAAATTATTCAAACCTTTGAAACTCTACCCTGGGAGTCAGAAGGTCTTCAATTGGAAGTTCATGTTAACCAGAGTATAAATAATAGCCTTATTAAATATTTTTAGAAAAAAGAAATTAATGTATTGCAAATAAAGTGTCTCTTTAGTGAGGCATTTCTACATCATAAATTTGATATCCTTTACTTGTACTGGTAAGGTCTGTACTTGTCATGTATCAACACTTCTTAGTGTAACGAGGCGGCAAGAAGTAGTCAACAGAAAGCTCTAAATTTCATGTTCGATCTATTTGATTTTCATCAGAAAGGCTTGCCTCTAATCTTGAGGGGATTGATCTACCCTGACGGATTTGACTCAGCGTCACCCATCTTCACATTCAGAAACGTTACTACTGAGCTATCCAGGTCACGGATGACCGCTTGTAGGACGGATATGTATCTAAAATTCACTGATCACTGAATATTGACCATTGTTACATAAATCAAGTCCTTCTTAGTGATAAAGCTCTTTCGATCAAGGCACTGACAAGTGACTATATCCAGGATTTCCTGTTGATTTTCCCTAGCGCACGTTATATCGAGTCGATTAGATTGGCAGAACGAACTATAACTTGGTCGATAAAATTCGATCAGCACTAATGGCGGAATGTACGTTGACAGCTACTCACTAACCAATCGGTTACAAATATTATTGATACACTAGTCTATACATTGGTATACCTCAAACACTTCCATACTGCCGTCCAGACGAACAAAGTATCTAAGCTTTGTTTATTCATAATGCTTTGTATGTTCAAATTTTAATAAGTACGAAAATTCTAGATCTTCGTACAAACTGCTATACAAAACTTCATTTCAGATTAGTAATTGGAAATCAAGGATAACTAGGTTGCATTTTTCTTATCTATAACCAGGTAGGCACAGATATAAATTCTAAGATTTTGGTTCGATATATCGGTAGAGTAGACTTTTTAAGTTCCTTAAGTAAAATTCTCCATTTGCATATATGAAGCTCAACAGATCTATGTGACTTTTTGTCACTTAAAGATTCACTGGACACATCTTACATCTGAAACATAGTTGTTTGGTTGCTATGACATTTTTCATTTATAAAACTGTGCCAATGGATCAAAATAACACAATCACACTGATAACAAATACTCTCTATTAAGGCTTTAATATTATAAAACCTAATTTCACTATGGAATGACAAAAATACCATATCAGTTGAAATACGAAAACTCATGAAAAGCCGGTAGGGAATGAATATTTAGCTAGAAAATTCAAGGATTGCAACATATGCATGCATATATGAAAATATGTAAACATCAAATTTCAAGCATTCCTTCTAACTTTATTGTGATTATGTTTTTCATAGATTATGAATACTTTCCATAAGACAAAGATTGATATTCGATGATAATATGATTATTATTATTTGAAACTGTGCGTGTTGAATATTAGATCCAATCCTTCAGTCAAAGTGTGTAATGCTCCTTCAGAAATTTGATTTTCCCTAGATTCTGATGGATTCATGAGTCTCTAATGGTAAAGAGCTTTATGCTAGGAAGTAGCAAATTTTCAGTGCTTTTTAAATTCTTACTACTATTAGTAGTAGTGATAGTAGTGTTAGTATTTATAGTAGTAGCAGTACTAGTAGTAGAATTAGTAGTAGTAGTAATAGCAGTAGCAGTGTAGTGAACAAGAACACGGATGGGGACAATCGATTGTATTTAGCACAAAAATTACAGACTATCTCAATAAAATGTGAATACCATAAAGTCAATCGTCAATTCGCAAAATATCATTCGATCATGTGAAACTGTACTGTTCCCGTTGCAAACACGAATCCATTGTCGCCCATTCCGTTGTACCTGCGCTTTCTTACAATTCCGATGTGTTCTTGCTCTTCCTTTCTTGAACTTCGCCATCTTCTGCTGCCGGATATAACGTTCTTTTAACGCACGTTATATACTACTTATATCAGTATAAGTAGCTCACACCAAAGTAGTAGTAGTAGTAGTAGTAGTAAAAGTAGTAGTATTATTGATAGTATAATCATTATTATTATTATTACTAGTATTATTATTATTATTATTAATATTATTAGTGTTAGTAGAAGAAATATTAGTATTTATAGTATTAGTAGTACGAGTAGTAGAAATAATAGTAGTAGTAGTAGTAGTAGTAGTAGTAGTTGTGGTATGATTAATATTATTATTATTATTATTACTAATATTATTATTATTTGTAGTAGTAATAGTAGTATTAATGTTTATAGTAGTAGCAGTACTAGTAGTAGAATTAGTAGTAGTAGTAATAGCAGTAGCAGTGTAGTGAACAAGAACACGGATGGGGACAATCGATTGTATTTAGCACAAAAATTACAGACTATCTCAATAAAATGTGAATACCATAAAGTCAATCGTCAATTCGCAAAATATCATTCGATCATATCAAACTGTACTGTTCCCGTTGCAAACACGAATCCATTGTCGCCCATTCCGTTGTACATGCGCTTTCTTACAATTCCATTGTGTTCTTGCTCTTCCTTTCTTGAACTTCGCCATCTTCTGCTGCAGGATATAACCTACTTTTGACGCACGTTATATACTACTTATATCAATATAAGTAGCTCACACCAAAGTAGTAGTAGTAGTAGTAGTAAAAGTAGTAGTATTATTGATAGTATAATCATTATTATTATTATTACTAGTATTATTATTATTATTATTAATATTATTAGTGGTAGTAGTAGAATTATTAGTATTTATAGTAATAGTAGTACGAGTAGTAGAAATAATAGTAGCAGTAGCAGTAGTAGTAGTAGTACTAGTAGTATGATTAATATTATTATTATTATTACTAGTATTATTATTATTATTAGTAGTAGTAATAGTAGTATTAGTATTTATAGTAGTAGTAGTACTAGTAGTAGAATTAGTAGTAGTAGTAATAGCAGTAGCAGTGTAGTGAACAAGAACACGGATGGGGACAATCGATTGTATTTAGCACAAAAATTACAGACTATCTCAATAAAATGTGAATACCATAAAGTCAATCGTCAATTCGCAAAATATCATTCGATCATGTGAAACTGTACTAATCCCGTTGCAAACACGAATCCATTGTCGCCCATTCCGTTGTACATGCGCTTTCTTACAATTCCATTGTGTTCTTGCTCTTCCTTTCTTGAACTTCGCCATCCTCTGCTGCCGGATATAACGTTCTTTTAACGCACGTTATATACTACTTGTATCAATATAAGTAGCTCACACCAAAGTAGTAGTAGTAGTATTAGCATTAGAAGTATGAATAATATTATTATTAATACTAGTAATATTATTAGTATTAAAATTATTATTATTAGTAGTAGTACTAGTATTTGTATTTAAAGTAGTAGCAGTACTAGTAGTAGAATTAGTAGTAGTAGAAATAGCAGTAGCAGTGTAATGAACAAGAACACGGATGGGGACAATCGATTGTATTTAGCACAAAAATTACAGACTATCTCAATAAAATGTGAATACCATAAAGTCAATCGTCAATTCGCAAAATATCATTCGATCATATCAAACTGTACTGTTCCCGTTGCAAACACGAATCCATTGTCGCTCATTCCGTTGTACATGCGCTTTCTTACAATTCCATTGTGTTCTTGCTCTTCCTTTCTTGAACTTCGCCATCCTCTGCTGCCGGATATAACGTTCTTTTAACGCACGTTATATACTACTTGTATCAATATAAGTAGCTCACACCAAAGTAGTAGTAGTAGTATTAGCATTAGAAGTATGAATAATATTATTATTAATACTAGTAATATTATTAGTATTAATATTATTATTATTAGTAGTAGTACTAGTATTTGTATTTAAAGTAGTAGCAGTACTAGTAGTAGAATTAGTAGTGGTAGTAATAGCAGTAGCAGTGTAATGAACAAGAACACGGATGGGGACAATCGATTGTATTTAGCACAAAAATTACAGACTATCTCAATAAAATGTGAATACCATAAAGTCAATCGTCAATTCGCAAAATATCATTCGATCATATCAAACTGTACTGTTCCCGTTGCAAACACGAATCCATTGTCGCTCATTCCGTTGTACATGCGCTTTCTTACAATTCCATTGTGTTCTTGCTCTTCCTTTCTTGAACTTCGCCATCCTCTGCTGCGGGATATAACGTTCTTTTAACGCACGTTATATACTACTTGTATCAATATAAGTAGCTCACACCAAAGTAGTAGTAGTAGTATTAGCATTAGAAGTATGAATAATATTATTATTAATACTAGTAATATTATTAGTATTAAAATTATTATTATTAGTAGTAGTACTAGTATTTGTATTTAAAGTAGTAGCAGTACTAGTAGTAGAATTAGTAGTGGTAGTAATAGCAGTAGCAGTGTAGTGAACAAGAACACGGATGGGGACAATCGATTGTATTTAGCACAAAAATTACAGACTATCTCAATAAAATGTGAATACCATAAAGTCAATCGTCAATTCGCAAAATATCATTCGATCATATCAAACTGTACTGTTCCCGTTGCAAACACGAATCCATTGTCGCCCATTCCGTTGTACCTGCGCTTTCTTACAATTCCGATGTGTTCTTGCTCTTCCTTTCTTGAACTTCGCCATCCTCTGCTGCCGGATATTACGTTCTTTTAACGCACGTTATATACTACTTATATCAATATAAGTAGCTCAAAACAAAGTAGTAGTAGTAGTAGTAGAATTAGTAGTAGTAGTAATAGCAGTAGCAGTGTAGTGAACAAGAACGCGGATGGGGACAATCGATTGTATTTAGCACAAAAATTACAGACTATCTCAATAAAATGTGAATACCATAAAGTCAATCGTCAATTCGCAAAATATCATTCGATCATATCAAACTGTACTGTTCCCGTTGCAAACACGAATCCATTGTCGCCCATTCCGTTGTACATGCGCTTTCTTACAATTCCATTGTGTTCTTGCTCTTCCTTTCTTGAACTTCGCCATCCTCTGCTGCCGGATATACGTTCTTTTAACGCACGTTATATACTACTTGTATCAATATAAGTAGCTCAAAACAAAGTAGTAGTAGTAGTAGTAGAATTAGTAGTAGTAGTAATAGCAGTAGCAGTGTAGTGAACAAGAACACGGATGGGGACAATCGATTGTATTTAGCACAAAAATTACAGACTATCTCAATAAAATGTGAATACCATAAAGTCAATCGTCAATTCGCAAAATATCATTCGATCATATCAAACTGTACTGTTCCCGTTGCAAACACGAATCCATTGTCGCCCATTCCGTTGTACATGCGCTTTCTTACAATTCCATTGTGTTCTTGCTCTTCCTTTCTTGAACTTCGCCATCCTTCTGCTGCCGGATATTACGTTCTTTTAACGCACGTTATATACTACTTGTATCAATATAAGTAGCTCAAAACAAAGTAGTAGTAGTAGTAGTAGAATTAGTAGTAGTAGTAATAGCAGTAGCAGTGTAGTGAACAAGAACACGGATGGGGACAATCGATTGTATTTAGCACAAAAATTACAGACTATCTCAATAAAATGTGAATACCATAAAGTCAATCGTCAATTCGCAAAATATCATTCGATCATATCAAACTGTACTGTTCCCGTTGCAAACACGAATCCATTGTCGCCCATTCCGTTGTACATGCGCTTTCTTACAATTCCATTGTGTTCTTGCTCTTCCTTTCTTGAACTTCGCCATCCTCTGCTGCCGGATATTACGTTCTTTTACCGCACGTTATATACTACTTGTATCAATATAAGTAGCTCAAAACAAAGTAGTAGTAGTAGTAGTAGTAGAATTAGTAGTAGTAGTAATAGCAGTAGCAGTGTAGTGAACAAGAACGCGGATGGGGACAATCGATTGTATTTAGCACAAAAATTACAGACTATCTCAATAAAATGTGAATACCATAAAGTCAATCGTCAATTCGCAAAATATCATTCGATCATATCAAACTGTACTGTTCCCGTTGCAAACACGAATCCATTGTCGCCCATTCCGTTGTACATGCGCTTTCTTACAATTCCATTGTGTTCTTGCTCTTCCTTTCTTGAACTTCGCCATCCTCTGCTGCCGGATATTACGTTCTTTTAACGCACGTTATATACTACTTGTATCAATATAAGTAGCTCAAAACAAAGTAGTAGTAGTAGTATTAGCATTAGAAGTATGAATAATATTATTATTAATACTAGTAATATTATTAGTATTAATATTATTATTATTATTAGTAGTACTGTATTTGTATTTAAAGTAGTAGCAGTACTAGTAGTAGAATTAGTAGTGGTAGTAATAGCAGTAGCAGTGTAGTGAACAAGAACACGGATGGGGACAATCGATTGTATTTAGCACAAAAATTACAGACTATCTCAATAAAATGTGAATACCATAAAGTCAATCGTCAATTCGCAAAATATCATTCGATCATATCAAACTGTACTGTTCCCGTTGCAAACACGAATCCATTGTCGCCCATTCCGTTGTACATGCGCTTTCTTGCAATTCCATTGTGTTCTTGCTCTTCCTTTCTTGAACTTCGCCATCCTCTGCTGCCGGATATAACGTTCTTTTAACGCAAGTTATATACTACTTGTATCAATATAAGTAGCTCAAAACAAAGTAGTAGTAGTAGTAGTAGAATTAGTAGTAGTAGTAATAGCAGTAGCAGTGTAGTGAACAAGAACACGGATGGGGACAATCGATTGTATTTAGCACAAAAATTACAGACTATCTCAATAAAATGTGAATACCATAAAGTCAATCGTCAATTCGCAAAATATCATTCGATCATATCAAACTGTACTGTTCCCGTTGCAAACACGAATCCATTGTCGCCCATTCCGTTGTACATGCGCTTTCTTACAATTCCATTGTGTTCTTGCTCTTCCTTTCTTGAACTTCGCCATCCTCTGCTGCCGGATATTACGTTCTTTTACCGCACGTTATATACTACTTGTATCAATATAAGTAGCTCAAAACAAAGTAGTAGTAGTAGTAGTAGAATTAGTAGTAGTAGTAATAGCAGTAGCAGTGTAGTGAACAAGAACACGGATGGGGACAATCGATTGTATTTAGCACAAAAATTACAGACTATCTCAATAAAATGTGAATACCATAAAGTCAATCGTCAATTCGCAAAATATCATTCGATCATATCAAACTGTACTGTTCCCGTTGCAAACACGAATCCATTGTCGCCCATTCCGTTGTACATGCGCTTTCTTACAATTCCATTGTGTTCTTGCTCTTCCTTTCTTGAACTTCGCCATCCTCTGCTGCCGGATATTACGTTCTTTTAACGCACGTTATATACTACTTGTATCAATATAAGTAGCTCAAAACAAAGTAGTAGTAGTAGTAGTAGAATTAGTAGTAGTAGTAATAGCAGTAGCAGTGTAGTGAACAAGAACACGGATGGGGACAATCGATTGTATTTAGCACAAAAATTACAGACTATCTCAATAAAATGTGAATACCATAAAGTCAATCGTCAATTCGCAAAATATCATTCGATCATATCAAACTGTACTGTTCCCGTTGCAAACACGAATCCATTGTCGCCCATTCCGTTGTACATGCGCTTTCTTACAATTCCATTGTGTTCTTGCTCTTCCTTTCTTGAACTTCGCCATCCTCTGCTGCCGGATATTACGTTCTTTTAACGCACGTTATATACTACTTGTATCAATATAAGTAGCTCAAAACAAAGTAGTAGTAGTAGTAATAGCAGTAGCAGTGTAGTGAACAAGAACACGGATGGGGACAATCGATTGTATTTAGCACAAAAATTACAGACTATCTCAATAAAATGTGAATACCATAAAGTCAATCGTCAATTCGCAAAATATCATTCGATCATATCAAACTGTACTGTTCCCGTTGCAAACACGA